CCAACCCCGTGCCCCGGAGTGAGTCGGCCGATCCAACCCAGTCTGGTGTCGAGGTGCAGCTGTGCATCCACTTCTCCACACGACAACTTGTGCATTTTGGGTAGGCACGCACGCGTACCGGCGCGGTGCGTCGTGACGCCGGGTTGGCGGCAGGTATGCTTAGAGAAATTCGTGTAAACAGTATTCAAGAATTGTATTTGTACGTGAGGGAGAACACGGCCCGGTTGATGAAGACTTCGCGTGATCTGTACCCGTGACTGCAGGACGGACGATTGTCCAGTGATTTTGGTGAAGTTGTTTGGAGTGATGTGAGGAGATTCACAGCGTGCGACCCTGGCCGGATATTATTAGAGCGATCAACTGAAGGAGGACGCGACAAGAGGCGGATGCCAAGCGTCTGTGGGAGATCCTGACATAGAGAGACTTGGGAAGACATAGGCTGCGAGAAGTAGGATTCGTCTGGCTTGGGATAGGGACCAATGACGTCCTAGCGATACAGAATAAGTTAGGGCTGGTGCCCCAGGATGAGAATGGTGTGAATGTGATGTTGCAGTTACATGCGTGCTAAAGATTGTGCCGATGGGACTGTGTAGAGGTGCTGAACCTTGTGTGACTCAGCCACTGAGAATGCTGGCTTGGGTTCCTGAATATCTCGGAAGCACCTCTCTGGCGCTGGGACATGTCGACGCTCTGCGGCAAGACGTATTGATCGCCTGGCCCGTAGTTCAACAGCCCGCTCTGCCGCGTTATGTAACGAAGGATCCACTTGAGACCCCACTTCGCCACTTCTCGAGCGTCTGGTGCAGGAGACTTGAGAAGCACACGGATACATCGCTTGCGAGGACGGCAAGACAAGGCGTCACGGTGGCAACGCGGGGTCCATTTGAGCGCACCCACGCAGACAGATGGGTCTCGTTTATACTTGTGTGTCTCAGGCTCCACCGTGAAACATTGCAGAATCGAAGGTGCCCTGGAAGATGTTTCGAGGTCTACAGAATGCCCATCATCAGTACTTCGATGCCCGTAAAGTTCCCCAATGTTAGAACGTGCTGTTAACAGATTAGAAAGTTCAAAGTGAGTGTACACACGAGGCGCCAGCCCGAGAACCAGAGCCCGGTGCGTCCGACTTCTGGTGACCTTGAGAACGCTGCACGAGCAGAAACGTCCCGAGATGTAGCCAATATCACAGTGATAATGCTTATTGAAGCATCTGCGTTCTGTGGCAAGATGTAGAGGCTGGGAGGAGACGCAGATCTATCTGTATGTAACTCCTGCGCAGTGTCCGTATCTCTTTGGAACTGCTGCTCCGTTGCAGTGCTCTACTTGTTACGAACAAATGTGTGAGCCCGGCTTCCGCGGAGAGTGTTGAACGTTTTGTAACGTGTCGACGTGAAGGTGGGTCGTTGGTGGGAGGTGAAGCCGTCATTGGACGCGACAAGACCAACACCACTTCAAACATTCACCCAGAAGATGGCAACTATGTTGATTGTCGACACGCTGTAAAACCCTGTAGCCTCTAGTCGACGTGTTCCCGAAGGCCGAAGTCATATATTGAGCCCCAGCCGTGAGATGGGTTTGTGGATAACGCGTGTGTAGACATGCAGGTACGATTTGTCGTAACTTTGACAGTTCATCAGTCATTGCTTCAAACCTCACACTTGCCACGCTACTTTGCATTTTACAGAAGGGGCCGGGATAGCTCAGTCGGTACAACGATTAGGGTGCGGGCTGGGCGGCTCAGGGATCGGGTTTCGATTCCCGTCAGGGGCAAGCGATTTTATCCTCTGCGTTGAGGATATTGCAGTTATCTTCGAGGTTCATAACTTGGGAAGGGAGAGTTGGCAGCCGCTATATAGCTGTCGCGTGATGCATTTCCAGTGCCCTGTCTAATGGGACACGCGTTTAAGGAGTGCTAGACCCCTCGCAAATTAATCCAAAGGATGGCATCTGCAAGGTTTGTCGAAACGTCGAAGCACCCGCTACCTTCAGCGCGGTGTGTGACATAACTGTTGTCTGGGGGCCGTGTGGAGTTTGCAGAGGCGACCCTCGGTGGCCTGGTATTCATGCGGATTTGTGTGAGATGGTTCCGGTTTAGTTGCGGTGTGCTGGGGTGGGGTGGGGGGTACACACATACGCAGACCAGCCTCATACCTTTGTACGGAGAGCATCGGGGGGCCGTTGCGGTCGATACGGCGCAGCAAGTTCCCACGGCTGTTCGGGTCAGCGACCTCCACCCCCTTCACACAGCGGGGTGCCTGTGAGTAGTGACGGGGCCGCTGTCTTCTTGAAGTTGCTCCTGTGTCAGGTCAGACCCCCATTAAGGCGCGGAGGGGACATGGAGGTAAATTTCCACGAATTCTAGATGTTGCTTGTGCCTTTCGCAGCCGAACTGGACACCCGAGGCGGTCACTTCACCATCAGCACCTTCATACGTGTAATAGCGAAGGTACCGGGTTCATGTATCGGTACAAACACCGTCTGTGTGTCCTGATTGGTGGTTGTTCTCATGCCCTGCAGACAGATACCTGTACTTACCTCAGATTTCGAAGGAACCAGCTGTCTCCATCTTCAGGGTATGATTCGTTCTCAGGGCGGTGACTGACCACCCTGAAAATGGAGGAAACAGTGACGCCCTACCAGGCTCCGATGGCAGTGTCTCAGTGTCTCAGTGTCTCAGCATTCTGATATATTGCGCTGAACTTTGCTGCATGTAATTCTCGGCTGATCTGTTTTGATGTGTGGCCCGCGCACTGTCTGCTTGGCTGCGGCCCGTGCTTATTTATGGCCTCTCGGCACGGCGCGTGTCTCTTGTTGGCATGCGGTCTGCCGAACTTGCGTGCCCTCCTACACGTGGACCGGCCCGGCCGGCCCTGCGTTATCAGCACATGATTGCGTCCTCTTTCCAGAGTGAACCGCCTTACCTGGCGACTGGGTCTTCTCCCGGTCTTCCTCAGTCTCACATTCGAATCCCATGAGGGACAAGAGCTCCTCTCCTCAGCGTCCGAATCGACTGTTAAGTGGAAAAAGCGGCTGGGGCTTGAAGCTAATCACTCAATTCCATCTAAGGCTGAAGTTAAGAATGCGTAGAGCTATACCTCGGTCCCCCATACGTCTGTATCGTGGTATCTAATTAAATACAGGCGGCTTTACCTTTATTTAAGCCGTGTGCCTGAATAGTCCGTTAAAATTGGTTACGGCCGCTATTTTACGTCACTCCCGGTAATGCATCCTCTACGATATTCGTACTCATCCTTACACGGTAGGCTGCACCGCGTACACGACTGTGGTTGTGTTAACGTTTCATCTGCAATGCTGAGCCCTGAACTTCGGGTGAGCGATATATAAAATCCAATTCGTACCTCACAGGGAACGCCGCGTCGCCATAACAACCACCAGCCGGCTTATGCTGTTCATTGTGAGAATCACATAGCTCAGTGGGTATAGCGACAAGGCTACCGGGGTTCGATGCCTGGTAGGTAAATGGGTGTCGGGGTTGAAGTGGCAGAGGCCGACCACTCACCTCCATGTAGTGCAGATGTCAAGACTGAAGGAGCTATACCTCCATTCCCCATACGTCTTCATGACGTTGTGCATAATTAATTAAAGGTAACTTTATACGAAACATGCAGTGTTGTACTGGTTAAGCAGGTGTGCACACTGCTGCCCGTCATCCGTGGTGTGTCTTGTGTGCAGTCTGTGTTAGTCCACTGAGACGGCGGGCCGGGAGAGGAAACAGAATTCAGACCAGGAGGCCCAGTTGCGAGACCAGTTGCCTTCTCTGATCGCCCACTGTGCGTGTAGCGCGGGCTAGCAGTTGGACAAGACGTCGGAGTCCCGCAGGACGTAACTGGCAGTTGGACGCCACGGCTAGCAGCTCCGGCTGCTGCTTGCTTTCGTTCCCAGATTCTGTGGCATCGTTTCGGGTTTCCCCTACCAATTCCTATCCCACCAACTGCACGTTCATAAATCACCATATCATCGACACTGTGTGGTGTGGATACTGACAACGTCGTTAAATTACCAACTAAAATCCCCCCCGTCCCAGAGAACTCTCAGTCAGCATAAACTGACATTTCATGGCGATATTCGTCTCGCCCTACTCGCGATTCACCGTTCATAGCTTCGTTTCACGCCACATAACCTCAGCAGTTGATGCACTTTGCTACAGTCCGCATCGTCATCTGCATATCGGCGCTTGTTGCCTGGACCGGAACCTGCCTTGACGTCACAAGGCGCGTGGAGTTGACGTCATAAGCGGTTGTGCTCATCACACAATGCCATCTCGACATCTGTGAACTACGGGCCCCCAGATCTCACACTTCGTTTATTCCGAACTATTGTTAACACCCGTTGAGAATTCATCAGCAAGGCTCATCATTGGTTATATAAATTTTCATACTATTAACACTCTGAAGTCTGAATTTCTTCTCAAAACCGGCTTAGGGAAACAGTCGCTGTTTATTGTGAGAATCATATGGCACACATAATGCACTCTGTGGGCAGAATGCAGAATTTCTAGTATGTTAAATAAGGTGGTACATATAGTAACCACTGGTTTTTAAAAGGTTAACTTCTCTTGTTTTCTACCGTATTCATTTACAGCCCTACATGCTATCGAATTATACGTCGAGGCCGACGTTTAGTGCCGTCTCCCACAAATAACATGCACTAATAGTCAATCGTAAACCTTCTTTGTGTATAGTATAGTATATTATACGTAACCCACATCAAAATATCAGTACTCACGGAATACACACGATACAGAGAAACACAAAGCTGCTTGCTCTTTCGTGACCTGCTACATAACGTACGTTCATGAACCTGTAATTTCATTGCTGTGGTTAAAATTTGAAAGAGTACATTGGGAGGGTAAGCTCTGACAGGATTCCAGAAATATTAAATTATGAATCGGGCGGAGAGAGGACGGTTATTGAACAGTGGCGTCCTGCACAAATCGCGGACGCCAGGTCCTCATGACGCACACATCTTTCCGTCGTTTTGCTTAGAATGTTCTTCTCATAACTATCGTCACTCCTTTTGAGCGACTGTAGACGGGGTTTGGATTGGAAATCGGATATACTGAACACTTACGTTCGTAACTACAAATAACTACGACGGTCTCACTGAGTTACGCACTCCAAAGATCACTGTAACTACAGCACACATAAAGTCTTCTCGGTTTTCACTATCCGTTGCTTGGTATCGGTTTCCAACGGCGGACCTCGGGGTTCCCGAACTGTCCCCGGTCTCAGCTGTCAGCTTCTCACTTCTCACAACTTCAGCTCTCAACTGACTCGTTTCTTTTGACAAGTGACCCGTCAGAGATAATAGGCAAGAAATTTTCTTCTTCTACCCATTTCGCACCTTTATCTCCTTCCCTCCGTCGCTCTGTTTGCCAAATGTGCGTTGGTCTTTCCCCCGACTGTGGGAACGGATGAGGGGCAGCGCCTCGTGGGCTGGCCGTGCTAGGCACTTCACTGCGGAACCTCGGGTTAAGTCCCGGGTGGCTTCATGGAAGATTCATGATGGGCGGAATGGCACTGGGGCTGGGTTTTCTCCAAATAATTGCCATTTTTGTTTGCTAATCACCGTTCCACCATTGTCCGATATCCATCTCTGCGGTAGTACTAATCAGGCAGCACATTAACACATCCTCGGACTTCAGGATGGGGGCTCCACTTGGCTGGTTGCAGGCCATTTTCTTTCATGGCGGAAACGCCAAGCCACTTCTCGCCATGTTCATTTTTTTAACGTTTACCATTGTCGAGTTTCTAAACAGTTCCGCTTTTAAATTGTGTATCTCCATGGTAACCACCGTTCTCATTCTTTGAAGGACCCAATTTAGTTTAAGCTTTGCAGAGGCAACAACAGAGGTCTCAACGGTCAGATGAAAGCCGTGGAATTAACGCAATTTCGGGTTGCCATAGTAACGAATTGTCGAGCTTTATCACGTTGCGTGCACGCAAGTTGTGAAGCAGGTCACGAACGAGCAAGCAGTCTTCGGTTTCAGTATGTTGTGTGTTTGCTGTAAGTACTGACATTTCGATGTGTGGGCGTAAAGTGTAGCATAGTATATAAAGCGAGACGATTTACGGTTGACTATTTATGCGTGTTATTCGCGGAAGATGGCGTAACTGGATTGGGATACTGGAGAAAACACGGGACGTGAATAGCTTGAAAGCTTACACAAATGACGAGACATCTCGTTGCATTCCCACGGCCGTAACACTTGTCAAGTGGACGTGATGATTTAATGGATTGCTTCAGTTCAGGTTTTATACCCCTAAATTTCACAGTATTTGAAGCGTTTTTATGGTCTTGACGTTGGGAAGAAAGTGTCATACGCGCAGCTGCCATGTTATTTTTTTAATTTTATTTCTGATAAGAACGTCCGTAATGCACTTGACGCACATGTATGTCGAAACACGGGGTTGTTTGTCGCGGGGCCTGGCTTGCCAATCGCGTTGCTGCCAGGGGCCATAGCAACGCGTCACAAACCGTATGCACGCAATCTATTGGTTAGCTGGTGATGAATGCATCTTGTGTGGATCTGGAAGATTCATTAACGTGTTCACAAAAGCCCGACGCAACCAGACCACATCCT